CTTGCATTCCAGCAGCCCTTGTGTGTGAGTTCTGTTTTAATTAGATTCCATTTAGCTTTTTTACATTGTCCTCTTTCTAGCTTGCCTTATGTGTGGAGCAGGGGTTCTTGGAGGAATCTGCTGGAGAGTTAGCTTTAGCCTCCTTCTAACCTTGTAGGGCTTGTTGTCCTTTCCAGTTTTTATTTATTTTAATTTCATTTTTCTGGAAAACTGTGTATTTGTGAGGTCCTGAAGAAATGAAGCTGCAGTGTACCGTGTTCCTCAGCAGATAAACTCTCTGGCAGATCTTTATAGCAGGTATTCAGTTTGCTTTGTCTACTCTCTGCTATGATGTACGGGTTGTGTTCCCTTTTCTGTTTTTTTCAGGAGTGGGAAGAACTCCTCTCACAATTTCTGCAGCCTGTTTCCTGGGTTGGGACAGGTGTAGGTACAACACACTTAGTGGAGCCTAAGCTTCTGATGCAGGGGAAGGAGGAAAGGGATTGTGGCCAGCCGAGAAGGACTTCACATGAATGTAGTAATACGGTAACAGCATCTAGAGGCTGCTGTCTTGGAGAGCTGTCAAGTTCTTCACATTCAGAGTGTAAAAGGATAACCCACCTTGCAAATTGTAAAGACGAAGAAAGTGGTGGCTCCATGAGCTGGTCTGAGAAACACCAAAGTAACAATCAGGGTAGTTCCAATTAAAAATAATGTGAAGTGGTCACAAGCAGCAGCTGCTTGACTCACTGTTGCCACTTTGTACTGATCACAGAGCGACGGAGGCTGGAGGTGGCGAGTGAGAGGAAAAGAGGTAGGGTTTACACTTTCTTCATGCTTCCCACAGTGAATCTCAGGAATTATTGCAATGTAGCTGGTCGGGTATAATAATTGCTGATAAGAACTGGGAAACACTATTCATTTACTTTTATCCCACTTTCATTTACTTTTATCCCACTTTCATTTTCCTACACTTATGGGCAGCTCCACTCCACCTTGGGGAGAAACTTCAGATCTTTGGCATGGGGAGTATCTTACATTGCCATAAATAAATCCAGGTTATTGTAGAACTCTCTTATCTGAGGATCTCCGGACATCCTATAAACACCAATTAATGTTCCTGACAGCCTTGCAAAAGAGAGTACCTAATCTCATTTTACAGGTGGAAAAAATAAGACCCAAGGAAATTGATGGTCTGATTTTTCAGGGGCACTAGGATGGGTGCTTGGCATTGCTGGAAATCCAACAATAAATGATTGGTCCAGGGCCACACAGCAAGTTGATGGCAATGAGGAGAAGAAATCTAATCCTGCCTCTTGGTCGTTTGAGCAAACCACCGGATGACACTTAAAAAGCACTCCTGGGAATGAAAAGTACTATATAATTATTGCTTCCAATATAAATATTTTCCTCTTAAAGTAAAGCTGTTCTTACTACCACTGACTTTATTAAGCCCATGTGATTGCATTTGTTTAAGCTGTTATAGTGTGGACCATTGAAACCATGTAAAACATTCGGGCTGTACATGCAACATTTATGTAGTTAACATACATTATCCATGATATTGAAACATTTTCTTGTAAAAATATTATCTCTGCTATTCACGTAAATTTAAACAAAACCAAAACAACCCTTGAAAATAGCTACCCATGCATGAGAATCCCTTCTGACATCGGTGCAGATGAGTCTTGGACCGTGTCATGCCCAATTTTAATCTCAATAGCTCCTTGTATAGCTTTTTTAATTGCAAACGTTTAAACATAGCCTGAAAAGCATCATTACTGGTTTCCTCCTGTAGGGCAACATCTATAACTGGTGGCAGTTCATGGTAATGAAGTGTCTGATGCCATGTTTGTACCTGTGGACTCAAGTAAGTGGACAAGGCATATGGTAGAATCATGAAAGAGGGGAGGGCAAACTGATAGTGCATGAAAGTCAGTACAGCAGGGAGAATCCCTTAACAATCCAAATGTGGTACAGAAAACAAGAACAGGGATTTGTTTTCTGTGGAACAGTAAACAAGGAGCAGCTAAAGGCACAAAAGCTAAAAGCAGATGGTCAAGAAATCTCTAGGTTTTGGTCATAAGTAATACTCTTCAGTTTGTTATAACTATTAAAAGACTGGCAAATGCCAGTGAATGCAAAGAGGCTGAACTGCAGTCATTGTCATAATTTTAAGTATTCATTTGTCATATATGTTTCTTTGTTACTAGAAAACCAGTGGTTTATAGAAGTACTTTTTAGACAATGATAAAATGTTAGCAGATGAAGATCACCAATAAAGTAGGGCGTTGCCTGAAAAACTGTGTGATGTTGAATCAATCCCCTTCATGTTCTACCCTTCCCCCCTCCTCAAGGAATCCTTTATAATTATTATTGGAGTAAATTAATCCACTGGTTTGATTGATACCAGATCTTGGCTTGGTTCCAGGCAACTGAATCATGAAAAGAAAAAAGATATAGCGACAAAAGAAGAAAACAGATGTCTTAGAGTTGCATACAGAAGCCAATAATTTGCTTGGTTCTTATAAACTGGGGGCAGTGTCAGGAGGAACAGATTCTGTATGGAAACAGTAAGCATAAACAAGTGTAACAAATGGTTTCAGGGCAGTATTTGCTGAATTGCATTCACACCTGCTGGTGCCTTGTGCCAAGCATGGATTGCATTTATAACAACATTATTTTCCTTTGATGAAAAGTCCTCTGAAGTAGCTATAAACTGTGTTCCACTGTGTTACGTTTAGCTTGTATTTTTAGCCATATAATGTCCTTTTGGAGCAGAGATTAAGCAAAGTATATGATTTTTAAATGACAACATTTTGCTTCCGTTTTCCAGCTTTGTGGCAGGCCAAAAGAGATGCCCTGAGACTGTCGAAGTTCTATTTCTTTGTTTTCAAACTAATCAGTTTTCTGATGAACTTCTTTACTGGCTTCAGGTTAATCAGTTGATGATTTCTTTTAATTGGCTCCTTACATTGCATTTAGTCCGCTTGATAATCTGCAATCAGAAAATGGGATTTGTTTTTAAATATGATATGAGAAGAAAGACCATGATGTAAAAAAAGAGACTGTATAAAAGCATATTCCAATCAGAGCGCTGTGAAAACTATCCCTTTGACCTCTGCAAAGCATAATTTACTGCAAAATATAATTTGGGATATTGCTTTCCAGATTGTCTGTCGTGTAGTATTCAAGAAACAGTAACAGCTCAGGAAAGAAGGCAACGATCCTTTTTGAAATTCAAAGAGAAATTTACTGAAATTCAGTGTGTATTCACAATGGATCTATTTTAAAAAAGACAACACCCAGTGTAAACCAAAACATCTACATCATTACACTGTTTATGCAGGCAAATATTTAAAATGAATATGTACACAATTTATGATATACCAGTGCTGCATATATGCTGTAGCTGGGAATATTTTTACCATATAATAAAATATGGTAAAAAGCAAAAAAATAAAATGCTTTTCACTCATTCTAAGCTTTCAGTCAGATAGGTTTGTGACCTCAATATCTTCTTTCACCCTTAGAGTGGTCTTATGAATTTTTCTGTGTTTGCTTTTGAAGATGTTCTGATTTAGGACTTGGCAGCTGTGTGCCACTTCTTCATGGATGTGACATACTTATCTAAAATACTCATTATTACTTGTTTACTAGGCCATAGAATATATATTTTTTGAGGACATTGGAGGTCTTCAACTTTAAGTATCAATCCTGCTTTGAGCACGAGCACCTCTGTTTTCATAGTTCCTTGCAGGAAATAGAAAGTAGGCACTTATAACATTCCAGTAGAGAAATCACTCTGTTCTCATATCAGTTTTTACCCACTTGAAATTAAGTTTCTGTTGAATATCACCCCAATTTGGTTGTATTTTTACAAACTGGGTGCTGGCTTGCAGCATCCTTTTAATCCTGTCTTTCTTTAAAAATAGCAGAATTGCTAGTACTCTCAGCAGCAGAAACATAAAGGCCTCTCTTTCTGGCAGGACTGTTTCTAGTTCAGTCCATTTCACCTTGAAGTACTTGAACATTTTCAGTTTCAATGTGTATTGGATAGTTTGGTGGTTTGTTTTTTGTTTTTTTGTTTTTTTGGTTGGTTGTTTTTTTTCCTTCCTTTCTTAAGGTCTGTGTTGTCAAGGTTCCATTACCTGGGGTAGTGGGGGCTGGGAAACCATAGGTAGTGAGAAAGCTTGAATAAAAGACATCAAAGGAGGCTTTGGTGAGTGCACCCCGGGGCTGCCTCCAAAATGCTTCAGAGAATCATAGATTCTTGCATTCTGCTCAGATATTGCTGCCTCCACTTTGTCTCCTGGAAAACCACTGGAGTTTCTTCTCATTCTTGCAGTATTCTAGCTCATGAAAATGCTCATAAATACAGGTGACTCTGCAGCTGGATCAGGTATTACACCCTCTGGAGTACTCCAGCTATTTTTGTATGACCATGTGTTTCTACATTGTGACTCCCAGTAAGGTACTGTAAATTAGAGTTACACAGACCTACAGCATCAGTGCTGGCACCTTTTGATTTCAGTTGACCTACTTTGGAAGTAGACTGCACTGATATGCCACTCTGAGCTAGCTTTTTGTGGATATAGTTTGTCTCTCTAACACAACTAACTTGCAGCCAAGTCAACTACCCATCAGTTCCTTAGTTAACTATATGAGCTACTGAAAAATGCCTTGACAGCGAGCAGTAAAATATCTCTTAATGTTCCATGCTGCAATGTGTTGAGCCATAATTCATGGAACATTTATAAAGAAGGCTTTGAAATCTACCTCTGAGATCCTTAACCTTGGGCAGGTTGATTATGCTGAGATTGACTAGTGTGGGTGGTGTCAGAGTTCCCAGATACATGTCCCTCAAAGTTTTATTACCGAATCAATGTATGAGAGGGTAGCAAGACTATCATTTTGACCTGTGGGAAGAGGAGGGCGCAATCACAGCAAATAATCAAGAGAGATGAGCTGACTTTGAGGGGCTAAATTATTTTGAGCATTAATTTGTTTTGTTCTGTTTTCAGTGTTACAGAGTTGTTTTTTCAAAGACTTTTGAAGAAAGAGAACAGATTTCACTGGATTACCAGAAAAGAAGAGTGATATTTTGGGGTAAGTAATTGTCTGAACAGATCAGGAAGTTTCTTGATTTTAATTTTGGGCAACTGCATCACTCATATGTCTGTACTGAATACCTGCTCTTTGTTTTTCTTGGTGTCATGGGGCAGGTACTGTGTCTACATGAGCTGCACTTTGAAACACACTTGCCGCTATGTTTTTCCTTATACTTTCTGGAACTTGATACTTCTGGGCTGATGCTGCTGCCCACTGGTAGGCTATACCAGCTTCTTGTTGAATTTTGCATTTAGGTTTGAAATTGGTGTGGAATTTGAGGTTTTAAGAACATTTAAAAGTATTAACAAGCAGGTGGAGAAGTTATCCGGCTCTAATTCCACCATGTTACTTATGTCAGTAGACCTGTACTTTTGACTGTGGCAGCCATAGCAAAATGTATCAAAGTTGGTATTCTCATATGGGAAAAGGCACTGACTATATTGAAACTTTTATGTATTGTATTCATGCTGGAATAACCACTTTAGGCAGAAATAGCAACTTTAAGTGCAATAGTTAGTTTTCTGCCAAAACTATGTGAAAAAGAGTATTTAGATAGACTGGAAAGTCAATGGGCAACATTTTGAGAGTGAGAGTCTTCACCAGGAGGCTACAATTTAAAGTGAGTCACATCCCTATGTTGCTTATATTCAGGAATGTTACGTGCATTCCAGATCTTAATGATGCACTTTAAAGATCTTCAGACTCTCTATGAAGAGTATTAGAAGTGTGGAGGTGGAAAGATAATAAAATTCTTGTTGTGTTTTTAGTTTGCTTATTGCTCTCAGAGGAATGAAAATGAAAAAGAATTCTTCTTGTGGATAGTCTTTAAATCAATTAATGTTTTTTTTCCTAAGTGGAATGAATTCATTATTTTCTGTTTCCAAAGAATTCTTTTGATCCTAACTGTTCAGCTGAAGTTTATACAATACAACTTCTATGTAAGCAATATTTCCTATTGATCTTTTAATGATCCTATTAATTTCTTTCATTCCCTTAATAGAAATTTTAACAGTAATAAAAGATAGAATCGGGCAGTAATTAGAACTGTGATTAGTTATAACGTGTTTCTTTAGCAAAGCAAAATCCCAACAAAATGTAAATTAGAATAATGGAACTGTGTGTAGCTATCTTGAATTATATTAGAACATTCACTTTCTCTCCCTTCTAAGGATTAATACACGCTTTAAAAAGAAAATGCTTTTATTATGCAAATTCAAATCACACTGCAATAAGCATATTACTTTGCAAATTGCTCTTTCTCCCCTACAAGTGATACAAAAAATTAAATGACTGTGTGAGAGGATGTGAATGTTTATGCTCTCAGGTCCTGAGCTTTCAAACATTCATGTCAATAACCCTTGCTAATTAAAGTGGTCACATGGGTTTCTATGACTCTAGTCATGTGTAAAACTGAATATGATGCAGAATATGGATTTCCAAACGGAAGCTTGGGTTTTCCAATTGAGAAATGGGATCAGGTTTTTGGCCCCTGTCCAAAGTGATCTCAAAAGCTCTCATCTCAGCAGAGAACTAGGCATGTTAGCTGCCACCACTTCATCTCAGTTCCAAGGAATTTCACAGTATCTTGTGTAATCTTATTCATGATCCTCAGATCACGCACAGAAGTATTTTTGGTGCCTTTATTGCATGACCAGATCTTGTGACACTTCTTCATTTTATGCTACTATTCAGAGAAAACTGGAAGATTTCTGAAACTGAAAGCAAATGTCAGGGTATAGTTTTTCCATAGGTCTCTTAGCAGCTGTTCTTAGTCATTGTTTTATGGCTCTTTTGGTTAGATTGCTGTCTCCAAAAATTAGCTAGCTTACTATACAAGATAATGATCACACTCAAGCATAACCTTGTAAGTTCATTCTTGTTGGTGTAGAAAAGTGCTCTGTGATCAGTAATGGTAAGGATCCAGTGCAATTTGGGACTCATACCACAGGCATGCTGGGCTATAGGTTCCAGGTAGGTTCCTTTGGCCAGGAGCATCCAGCACAGTTATGGCACAGTGCTTGGTTTCTCTTCTGCTCTTGGGGTCCACAAGGCACATATGTAATTAGATGTCTGCTTCTGGCATATGTGAAGTCTTAGCACACAGCTCATGTGCTCATGGCACAGTGCTGAAAATATAAGTGAAGCTATCAGGAAGTGAGACATTAGCTAATTTGTGTGGGTGTCACAGTTTGTAAATGTGCTTTGGAACCTATGTGAAATGTCCCTACCAGCTCACTCACACAATGTAAAGTAAGAGAGGAAGGGGCTTGGGAAAACATGTTAGGGGAAAAAAGATGGGAACAATGGGTTCCCTCTTCCTCTTCCCCCCAGAATAGGAAATGTTGAAATTCCACATATAGCTTAGCCACAGTTACTGAAACAGTGCATATGTGGGCTCTAGTCTCTGCACTGTCAGCTGCATTATCTTGGTTTGTGCTTGCAGAGAACAGAATTTAAGTTTTCAGGCTGCACAGTGACATAATCAGGTGAGAGTATACAGTCACTCCCTGTGTTTCTTAGTCAGTGGAAATGTCAGCATTATCATAACTTAATAGTACAGTTTGAGCAGGCAGATTGTTGGATTTATGCCTGCCTTCATCAGTTCTGTAACATCCACAGCAAAGCACTTTACAGCATAGTGTTGCTGTAACATGTCTTGTTGGAATCAATTATTTTGCAATACCTGACCACAGTATCTTTCACATATTCATGTAAAAGTCTCAATTGCTGTGAGCAGGTTTGCCCTTGGCTAGGTTGCATGCTGCTGCTGCTCTGACCTTTTTTTCTTTTCTAGTTAAGTGCATGCAGTATTACAGAATACGCTGGAAAGCAGCACTGAAATACTGCACATGATCTAATGGTACAGACAGCTATATGTAAAAATACTATGTTACTGATACCTGAGTAAAACTGGAATCTTTCCCTTTTTTCCCCATATATACCACTGGTGAGTAAATGTACATTTTCTAATGGTCGTCTTGTTCTTTTAGAGTCTTAAAAAACCCCAAAACAACAACAGCGAAACAACTAAACAACACCCCTCCCCCCCCCCCCAAAAAAAAACCACAACAAAACAAACACTTAAAATGGCTGTCCTGTGGTCTGGCTATAGTTCTATTAAGGCTTTTTAGCTTCTGTTTGTTTTGCTACTGTTTCGATGGGAGGTAATAGGGCAACAAGGGGTGGTTTGAACTAATTAGTTTCCTTGTACTCCCTGGCCCTCAGCCAGATGCCTGTAAGTTTGAGCATGAAGTTTTATGGCATATGTTTTGTTCTTTATGGGAATAAACACCATGGGGAGCTGTACTTCAAAGAATCAATCTCCCTTTGAACTGTACTGGTAAACCTTCAGACAGGTTACACAGTGTGACTGCTGCTTAACAGCTCTCCTTGAGTCACTCTTTCACTCTGGCTCTTTAAGAGAACCATAGGTCTTTGGAATGAAATTGAGGAGAAAAGAGGACCCTAGTAGAAATTGTGATTTCCTCTAGATGTGTGTGAGCAAGATGCAACTCCCCAGCCGAAGCCGTGTGCTGCTTGCTACTCACAAGTCCTTCTCATGTAGAAGTCATGTAGAAGTTCTACTTCTGCATTCTCTCTTCTGCCCAAATTCTGACTGATGCTGGTAGAAATATGGGTGTAGGCCTGCATGTGCCAGCAAGGAAGGACTCTTGGATTTGGCTTGAAATATTCACATAGGTCAAAGTGTGTCTTTATGAATACGACATTGTGTTACTGTGTTAGTACACATTCTGATAAATATATGCAGACTGTAATTGTGCACATAACTTAAGTCATGAGCATATTAAAACAAACATCCTGAATTGTCCCATTGTTTGCATGCTGCAATTCTCGAAACTAATGTCTACTCACTCACTGATGGGAAAAAAGGCCTTTGATTTTTCTCACGAATGTGCTGTGGAGAGAAGATGCAAGGAGCAGAACAGTGTGTAATGCCCAACTGGCATATGGTATTTGTTCCCCAAAGGAAACACTATTTGTTTCCCAAAAGGAAAATGCTGAGTTTAGAAACTGTATAGCAAGGCCCAGACACTGTGTAAAAAAGCTGTGCAGTTATCAGCAGGCCTCTGCAAGAACTTGGTTTCTCTAGAGAAGCATTACCTGCACTGTGGCTTGCGTTTAGTTCTCTGACTAGGTTGCTCCTTGGCGCCTCTGCTCATTCATGTCAGATCTTTCTGACCCTGTCTTTTCATGATCAGCCAGGTAAATGCAACATTTTAGGTGATATTTTTCAGCAGCTGGTGCAGGGAATGTACATCTTACTAAAGGAATGGACATCCTGCTAAATCCCATTCTTCTATGGGATTTATAAGCAATTCCTTCACTTGCTTCTAAACATACCTCCCTGGTTGGCTGCTTAGTTAAAGATAATTACAGAGTTCTTAATTTTGTTAAACATCCTACTGTTATCTTATGTGTTTAGTAAATTGAAAGTAATTAAGGTTAGCTGGTTTCAAAAATCCCTTTCCTGTCTGTACAGCAGAGGTCATAACATCGCTAACACGGTAATGAATCAAACACCGGCTATTAAAATGTCGGTTTCATCATCAAACAAGCTGTTTTCTGAGATGTGAGATGTGAGACATTCTGGAGAAATGCTGATAAGAAATATTGTTAGTGGCATAATTTAATTATGTCATAAATTCACTGGACATTTAGAATCATAGAATCATAGAATAGTTAGGGTTGGAAAGGACCTTAAGGTTATCTAGTTCCAACCCCCCTGCTGTGGGCAGGGACACCTCACACTAAACCATCTCACCCAAGGCTTTGTCCAATCTGGCCTTGAATACCGCCAGGAATGGAGCATTCACAGCTTCCCGGAGCAACCCATTCCAGTGCCTCACCACCCTTAAAGTAAAGAACTTCTTCCTTATATCCAATCTAAACTTCCCTTGTTTAAGTTTTAACGCTCTCCCCCTTGTCCTGTCACTACAGTCCCTAATGAAGAGTCCCTCCTCAGCATCCCTATAGGC